TGCTAGGAGCCCACCCAGATTTGAGCATCTTGGATTCTGACTCTTCCTCCCAAACTCCACACCCCCACGGATCCCTTCTTCCTCCCCCCACTACCTCCCCCCACCCCTATACCGGCACTGCCCACCCCTTTTCCCATCCTTCCTATGAGCGTGCGGGGGCATGCCTAGCTTGCGATGGGACCAGCATGGAAGGCGATGCCGCTGCCACGAAGAGGGTAGCATCCCCGGTGCCCAGGCACAACAGCCAGAATAGTGGCTGAGCACCCCCCCACACCCCTATTAAGCTCTCCCCTCTCTGGGCAAGCAGCAAGCTTGCAATCACGCTCAGAGAGAGAGAGAGAGGCAGAGAGCAAGCCTGGCCCGGGACCTCCCCTCTTCCAGCCAAGATCCTGGTGAACAAGCCTATCAGGTCCATGCCCAGCAAGACATACTTGGACTCTGGAGAATGACTGGGGTCCCCTCATCCACCCTAGCACTTGGGGGCAGCTCCTCTGCAGTCCCCCCTTGCCCTGTCTGAGCCCCTCTGCCCGGCCTGATCTAGACCCTGCGGGCGCTCAGCTGGGCAGCACTGTGGATGGCCGACATAGTGCAGGGAGTACCAGAGCCAGGTGGGACTCAGCAAGAGCGTCCAGCCGGCCTCTCCGCCTCCCAATCTCCATGCCCACCTGGACTGCAGGCGTTTGCGCCGGGCCGGTAAGGTGCATCTCTCTTGCCAGCCCTGCCCCGCCCCACATCGTCATGTGAATGCTGGGCTGGCCAACGTAAAAAATGGTCAGGGCCTCCGCTCTTGAGTTGGACGGGGGGGCGAGTGGGCAGCCGGCGCCTAAGGGGTGGGGAGGGGGCAGGAGGCAGCAGAAGGTACTGAAAGGCACCCAGGGCACCACAGACTGGCCTGAGAGGTGGGGAAGGTGGGCGAGGGAGCCATCAGCCAACTTGCACTTAAGCCAAGGGTGAGTTCAGCACCTGGTTCGGCGCCGAGAGAGCCAAGGAAGCGCTGCCACATGTGGCCAAGCATGGCCCTGGTGCAAGTGAGGCGGATCTAGCGGCTGCAGTGAGAGGGCGCCATGAACAGCTATGGCTCCCCATATCTATACATGGGCAGCCTAGTGGCTCAACTGGCCTGGGGCCCCCTTGCAGCGAACGCCCAAGTGCACGTGCTGCTGCAATCACGGCGTGCTCTCACAGCTGAAGAGAGTGGCAGCGCGTCAGGGCCGCCCAGGTGAGGCTGTGCCGCCAGCAGGCCAACAAGAGCCTGGAGAGCCTTTTGCCTGACACGCTGCGAGTCCTGCCTGCTGCCGCCGCCACTCCCGGGCTCTCCTCTGCTATGCCACCCAGACACCCCGGAGCAGCGCTCACCACCGCCACCCAGGGATGGCATGTCCTTTGGGATTGGGCGGCATATAAATAAAATTAAATAAATAAATAAATAAATAAATGTCATGGCACTTGCCCCCCCAGCAGTGCCATGGCTACATCCCATGAGCAGAGGGCGAGCCTGGGCAGCGTAGAGTCCCGGCTGGGGCGGCGGCCAGCGACGGCATCATTCCTCGGGTTGCCCACCTTCTTTGCCTCTGGCATCTTCGGACTGGAACTGCTGCAATGGCCCGCCGACTAGTCAGCTCTATCCACCGGGGACACTGGAGCCTCCCATGCTAGCAGAGGCTTCAGTGGGCCACTCCCTGGGAAGATCCCGGGGCTTCCCCACGCAGCTCCCCGGCCATGTGCGCCTCGGACTGAGCAGCCTGGGAAAGGGATTTTCTGGCCACCCTTCTCCCAGGGGGTGTGGCACCCGGATGCAGGGCCAATCAGGAGCCCTGCGAGGGGGCAAGTCCCATGAGAGAAAGAGAGAGAGAGAGAGAGAGAGAGGGAGAGAGAGAGGGAGGGAGGGAAGGGAAGTGCAAGTGACACTCTGTCTCTCTCTCTCTCTCTCTGCAAATGGCGGAGCAGACTCTGGAGCCGCAGGAGGTGGCTCAAGGAGCCGCATGCGGCTCCAGAGCTGTGGGTTGCCGACCCATGGTCTAGTCTCTTCTTAAAAATCTTCAGTGATAACACACCCATGATTTCTGGAGGCAATGAACTTGCCGATAGAGAACTCCACCAGTCAGGATGATTTTTTAATAGTTCAGCTGACAGAAAGTCCTTCCTATGGGCTTTATTGCTCTTCAAGCTATTTATGATGGATTTCATCATGAACATTTTAGAGTAAAAAGTATTTGACTTTTTATTTTATATTTATATTAATAATTATAAAAATGGAATGAGGGACACCTAACTAAGGCAGAATATCAGCAGATAGCCAGAATCTGCAAAAAAAGAAGTCAGGAAAGCTAAGGCTCAGAATGAACAAAAACTTGCAACGAAAGTCAAAGATAATTAAAAAAAAAATTTCTTTCAACATATAAATAAGAAGAAAAAAAAGTCAAAGAAACAGTAGGTCCACTAATGAGAGAAGATGGCAAGGAAGTAACAGGCAGCAGAGAGAAAGCAGAACTGCTTAAATCATTCTTTGCATGGGTCTTCATGCAAAAAGAAATTATAGCCCAAACTACCAAAAACACCACTGAAAAAGACAGACTATAAATAAAAGTTAAACAAACAAACAAACAAAAATAGTAAGAGAACACCTGTCTGATCTTGATGAACATAAATCACCGGGACTCGACAGATTACATCCCAGAGTTATGAAGGAGTTAGCAAATGTCATCTCAGAACCACTGTACCATATATTTTAAAAATCCTAGAGCACCAGGGAACCACCAGAGTATTGGAAAAGATCTGATGTGGTTCCCATCTTCAAAAAAGGAAAACAAAACAGACCCTGGAATCTACAGACCAATCAGCCTAACATCAATACTTGGAAAGATACTGGAAAAAACTGATCTGCGAAAATCTAGAAACAAAGTTATAACTAGAAACCAGCATGGGTTTGTAAAAAGCAAATCATGCCAAACCAATCTTATTTCATTCCTTGACCAAGTAACTAAATTAGTAGACCAGTGAAATGCTGTAGATATAATATACATAGACTTCAGCAAGGCATTCGACAAAGTAGACCACAACCTACTTCTTGGAAAGCTTAAAAAAATGGGATAGACAGCACAACCATCAGATGGATTTTTAACTAGCTGAAAAACCATACTCAATGAATAGTCCTTAATGTTACTACGTCTACATGGAGAGGAGTAAGAAGTGGGGTACTACAAGGTTCTGTCCTAGATCCAGTACTCTTCAATATCTTCATAAATGACTTAGTGCGGGAACAGAAGGGGAAGCTAGCAGGAATAGCCAACACCCTAGATGATAGGTTCAAGATCCAAGATCTTGACAGACTTGAATACTGGGCCCTATCTAAGAAAATGAAATTCAATGTAGAGAAAAATAAAGTCTTACACGTAGGCAAGAAAAACCGAAAATACATATATAGATTGGTGAAACCATGCTTAACAGCAGTAACCGTGAGAGGGATCTTGGAGTCTTAGTGGACAATCAATTAAATATGAGCCAAAAGTGTGCAGCAGCAGCCAAAAAAAGCCAATGCAATCCTAAATTGCATTAACAGAGGGATTCAATCAAGGTCACATGAGGTACTAATACCACTCTATAAAGCCTTAGTAAGATCATACCTAGAATACTGCAACCAATTTTGGTCTCCACACTATAGAAAAAGATGTTGACACTCTAGAAAAAATGCAGAGAAGAGTAACAAAAAGGACTGGAAGCTAAAACATATGTAGAATGGTTACAGGAACTGGGGATGACTAGTCTAGTGAAGAGAAGGACTAGAGAAGACAGGATAGCAATGTTCCAATATTTGAGGGGCTGTCACAGACAGAAGGGGGTCAACCTATTTTCCAAAGCACCGGAAGGCCAGATAAGGAATAATGGCTGAAAACTGATCAAGGAGAGATTCAACTTAGAAATAAGGAGAAATTTTCTGACAGTGAGATCAACCAATGGAATAATTCGCCTCCAGATGTTATGGGAGTTTCATCACTGGAAATTTTCAAGAGGAGACTGGACTGCCATCTGTCAGAAATGAGATAGGGTCTCCTGCTTGAGCAGGGGGTTGGACTAGATGACTTACAAGGTCCCTTCCAACTCTCTAATTCTAATTCAAAATAAAGTGGTGGATTAATGATAGTAGTCCTTACAACAGTGGTTCTCAACCTGTGGGTCGGGACCCCATTTGGGGTCGAACGACCATTTCACGGGCGTCGCCAAACAAGGCTGTCCGCCATTTTTTTCCCCTTTTCTTTGGCCACGCCCCTGGCACCGGTGATGTATAAGTGGTTGGGGGTCACCACAACATGGGGAACTGTATTATGGGGTCGCGGCGTTAGAAAGGTTGAGAACCACTGCCTTACAAGTTCATAAACATATGTGTTTTATCATCTGAATTCTTTTCATGAATCTGGAATTTGTTTTCCATTGAAAATATTATTTTTGTTAAGATTATGTACAAAAGATGAGCTTCCCATCTCTGCTGCATCTTCCTTTTGTACAGAGAATCCATTGATTGAACAGAGCCTCTCCATGATCACTTGATTGCTGAAGTACTGTATATAAAATGTTACTCAAGATGAATCTAGAACACGGGTCAGCAACCCGCAGCTCTGGAGCCGCATGCAGCTCTTTGAGCCATCTCCTGTGGCTCTGAAGCCTCCTCCCCCTCCCCCTTCTTCCTCCTGCTGCCCCCCCAGGCTTCAGTCCCGGCTGGGGTGGCGGTAGTGGTGGGGGCATTGCTTCCTGGGCCGTCGAGCCGGCTATGTGTCTGCCTGGGCCGGGCAGACACATAAATAAAACCAAGCTTTCATCGGAAACTTCCGACATCATCAGGGTTGAGGCTAGTTAACGGGAGCAACCTATATAAGGCTGCCTAACGCTTGCACCCAGCTCTTAGACCGTGTCATCGGTCCCAGCCAATTAGCTTGTATTGTGGTCATTTCCTTAACATTCATATCTAACCGTTTCATGTCCCTCTTCCGTGCATTCTTGCTCACACGTTGGTCGCTGATTCTCGGGCTTAATGGGATCCTCTCCCCCATGGGTGATCCCTATTTTTGTATTCTCCTTATCCTTCTTCACCCAGTTCTTCTCACCAGGGGTCCTGGGGTGTAAGCTGTTCAATCTCTCCTATATATATGTAGGTCTTTGGTTATTCGGGTTTTCTCCCGCGTAAAATTGGAAGTGTCTTGGAAGTGTCTTTCGACAAAGTCCCAGTCGTCATCTTCAGGCTGGTGTTTTCGGCTTCGTGCTTCTAGGAGCAATGTGTGATCATAGCTGTTTCTTCCTTTTAACTGCCAGTGGGGGTATGAACTAATTGGGTGGGAGCTTGGCTGTGTTCTGATTGGATGGGGGGTTGGCTGTGCTCTCATTGGCTGGGGGAGTGTTCTGTTTGGGTGGGGGCTTTGTTGTGCTCAGGTTAGTCTGAGTTGCAGGGGGATTTGAGATGGTGAGCTGCGTTGCTGTTATTTGGCTTCGCGTTCATGGTCGTGCCTCATCTTCATGGTGGGTGTCAGTTTGCTTCATGTATGGATTGGAGGGGTTTAAAGTGGCTAATGATGCAGCTGTGGTCTGGCTTCTGGTTTGTGGTCGTGCCTCATCATCGGTGTGGCTTTGGGTTTGCTTTTTGCGTGAATGTGTGGTGGTGACTTCCTGTGTGGTTTTTGTGAATGTGGGTCTGGTATCATTCTTTGTGTTAGGGACTCATTTGTCAATAAGGGCAGGTTTCCTAATGGCTGTAGGCGGGAGGTATCATCTCGTTTATTCATACTGTGTGGGTGCTTTTCTTTCTCAATGGCTTCTCTGATTATTCTGTTACTAAAGTGTTCAGTTTTGGCGATAGTTCTGGTCTTTTTAAAGTCAATTTCATGTCCTGTGGCTTTAAGGTGTTGGACCAGGGAAGACATTGGTTCCTCTTTTTTTGACTGAGTTCTTGTGTTCTTCAATGCGTGCACTTATTCTTCTGTTGGTTTGTCCGATGTATGTGGTGGGGCAAGCCGTGCATGGGAAGAAAATGGCTGCATCTCCATCTGTTGTCAATGTAAAAACATTCGACATTAAATGTTTCCTGTGCTCCCATCTCAATTGACAGCATCATTTCAGACTGCAGAGAAAAGATAGGACAAACAATGATCAATTTAACAATGCAGAAGGACAGCAAAGTGACAGACCTGCAATGACAAAAAACATCTACTTTTGTTCCTGAATGAGGACAAACCAGGAGGCCAAGATCTATCCTGGTCGCTGACTTCAAGCTGGAGTGTGACTCTGACTAACCAGAATTGACCTTGACTTTCTTCTTGGGATCAGTTGCACTCCAGCTCAAACTAATATGGGTTTTATTTAGGTGGTGGAATCAAATAAAATGTACCAATAAAGGAGTATATTTGTGCTCAGCCTTGAAATGTATTTGTAACTCTGGCTTGGGAATTCTGGGAGATGAAGTCCACACATCTTAAAGTTACTAAGGTTGAGAAACATTGCTTTGAGAAGGTCCTTGGTGCTCTCTGAGCTTGCTTGTTTTCTTGCAGACGTTTCATTAACTAACTAGGTAACATCATCAGTGCTAGTAAGGAGTCTCGTTTGCTGACAGAGAGCTCAGAGAACATCAAGGACCCCTCAAAATAAAATGTTTTGGCTTGACAAGGGGGAAAGAGGTAGAGGGAGTTTCCAACTAATGACCATAATGGAGCCTGCCCATTATGGTCCTAAGTCATGGTGGTCATTGAAAAGGTCACCCATGTGACCGACCCAATTTTATAACTTTTTTTGAGGCGGTCAATTGTTCACCATGGGCTGGTTTTGCTGAAAACTGCAGGTTTTTGACAAAAACATCACAAAATGTGGTCATGACTATGGAGATTCTCAGTCATCCAGGTCATGGTTATTCTAAAATTATTTTTCCAGGAGGCAACTGGACTTTCTTGTTTTTCTTTGAAGACGTTTCACTTCTCATTCATGAAACTTCTTCAGCTCTGATCAGATGGTGGGGAATGGAAGGCTTTTTATTCCTTGCAGACAGCTGGTCATTTGCATTCTTCCAAGTGGCCTCGACAACTCTCTAAAAGAAGGCAAATAAGAGGTGACATTTGGTGAATCAGTGGATACATTAAATTGAGACAGAGAGAAAAAAGGCTGATGCAATATTGTAGCACTCATATACTGTACAAGCAGTGACTAAGTTACAAGTAGAAAAGGGTCATCAGGCAACGTATTAAAAGTAATGAAGTAAATGAATTGTATTAATGAAATAGAAATAAGCATAATTGAATAATTGAACTAAATAGAAGTGAAAAAGTAATTATAGCATAGTAAAGAAATATAGACAGGCGATTATTCAAATAAGAGTTATAGTGAATGAAATTAAGAGTGGTGATAATACTTAGAGAATAGTATATGTATATGCATCGTGTGTAGTGTTATAGATATATATATATATTATAAGAGCTGTTAAGAGTATTATAAATTGTACTAGATAATAGTGGGATAAGGAAAGGTACAACTCTATTTGTAATTTTATTTGTTAATGTTAACTCTAAGAATAACGTTCTATAAAGGTATTATATATTGATTTATAGTTAGAAATATTATATATATATATATATATATATTTGTTTTCTGAGGTTTTCGCGGGTATTTGTATGTAGGTCTTTGGTTGTTCGGGTTTTCTCCCGCGTAAAATTGGAAGTGTCTTGGCGACGTTTCGACGAAGTCCCATACGTCATCTTCAGGCTGGTGTTTTCAGCTTCGTGCATTGAGCAGCAATGTGTGGTCTTAGCTGTTTCTTCCTTTTAACTGCCAGTGGGGGTATGAACTGATTGGGTGGGAGCTTGGCTGTGTTCTGATTGGGTGGAGGTGTGTTCTGAATGGTTAGGGGCTTGGCTGTGCTCTGATTGGCTGGGGAGTGTTCTGTTTGGTTGTGCTCAGGTTAGTCTGAGTTGCAGAGGGGTTTGAGATTTTGGGCTGCCTTGTTATTTTTTGGCTTCGCGTTCGTGGTCGTGCCTCCTCTTCATGGAGGGTGTCAGTTTGCTTCATGTATGGATTGGAGGGTTTAAAGTGGCTAATGATGCAGCTGTGGTCTGGCTTCTGGTTTGTGGTCATGCCTTGTCATCGGTGTGGCTTTGGGTTTGTTTTTTGCGTGGATGTGTGGTGGTGACATCCTGTGTGGTTTTTGTGAGTGTGGTCTGGTATCATTTTTTGTGTTAGGGAGTCGTTTGTCAATAAGAGCGGGTTTCCAAATGGCTGGTAGGCGGGAGGTATCATCTCGCTTGTTCATGCTGTGTGGGCGTTTTTCTATCTTGATGGCTTCTCTGATTATTCTGTTATTAAAATGTTCACTTTTGGCAATGGTTCTGGTATTTTTAAAGTCAATTTCATGTCCTGTGGCTTTAAGGTGTTGGACCAGGGAAAATGTTGGTTCCTCTTTTTTGACTGAGTTCTTATGTTCTTCAATGCGTGCACTTATTCTTCTGTTGGTTTGTCCGATGTATGTGGTGGGACCAGTGGTGCATGGGATTTCGTATACTCCTTGAGTTTCTAATTCAATTTTATCTTTGGGGTTTCTAAGGATGGTGGATATTTTTCTGTTTGTGCAGAATGCTGTTTTGATGTTGTGTTTATGGAGGATCTTACTGATTCTGTCTGTGGTGCCTTTATGTATGGGAGGAGGGCTTTGCCGTTTTCTTGTTCTTTGTCTTGGATTTTAGTGGGGGTTTCTTTTTGGATTAGGTTTGTAATCTTATTTCTATGGAATCCATTGGATGTTAGTACATTGGTGAGAGTGTGTAGTTCGGGTTTTAGGTGTTGTTCGTCAGCTAAGCGTTTTGTTCTGGAGATGAGTGTCTTGGCTACAGAGTTGATCTGTGCTGGGTGGTGGTGTGAGAGAACGTGCAGATAGCGGTTTGTGTGTGTTTTCTTCTGGTAGATGATGTGTCCTAGGGAGCCATTGGATTTCTTGTAGACTAAGACATCCAGGAAGGGAAGTTGGTTGTTAGTTTCTGTTTCCATGGTGAACTGTATTTTGGGGTGTAGGCTGTTGAGGTGTGTGAGGAAGTTGTCCAGTTTTTCTTTCCCATGTGGCCAGATTATGAAGGTGTCGTCTACATATCTGAGGCAGAGTTTGGGTTTGTGATCCGATTTTTCTAGAGCTTGGGTTTCAAAGTGTACCATGTAGAGGTTGGCAATGACAGGTGAGAGGGGTGATCCCATGGGTGCTCCTTCTGTTTGTTTGTATTTTTGTCCATTATAGATGAAGTATGTGTTGGATAGGCAGTGGTTGGTCAGATCTAAGATGTGTTTGGGGGGGTTATATTTGTTTTGAATAGCTGTCAAGGCTTCTTTGATAGGCACTTGGGTGAAGAGGGATATGACATCGAAGCTCACTAGTAGGTCGCTGGGCTGTAAGTTTTGTTTCTTTATGATCTCTATAAACTGGAATGAGTTTTTTACGTGTGAGGTGATGGATTCTGCATAGGGCTGTAATTGTTTGGCGAGAAATTTGGCTAGGTTTTGTAGAGGTGAGCCTATGGAGCTGACTGTAGGTCTGAGTGGGGTTCCTTCTTTGTGTATCTTGGAGAGACCATAGAGTTTGGGGCATCTGGATGATTTCTCTCACGGAAAAAGAAGTGTATCTACAAGATAGATACACTTGAGAAAGCACAGGACTTTTATGAACGTTATTTTACATAGGCAGAAGAACAAGAAAGTAGGGAAGAGCCGGAGAGTAAAAGTCAGGATGAAGATTTATTAGAGGAAGTTGATCGAGAGAGCAAAATACAAAAGTTACAAGAAAGAGAAAAGTTAGAAAGAGAAGTAAAAGGAAGAATAATAGAGACAAGAAGCATAAAAAAAATAGATCAAGTAAAAAATGGGAGACGCAATTAAGCTCTTCTCTGTAAACAATGGATTAAATATACTAAGAAAAAGAGCTCAAATGTTTAATAAATTAAGGAAATTGGATGCAGATGTGATATGTCTTCAGGAAATTTATATAAAATAGGATTATAGAAAACTACTAGAGAATGTAAAATTAGGAACATTATACACAACATCAGCACAAAACAAGAAAGGAGGAATTATTATATATGTCAAAGAAAAAATAAAATCAAAATCAATATATTCGGCTGAAAAGGGGAGAATTTTAATGTTGAAAATAGAATTAGAGCAAAAACAAATCTTATTAATGGCAGTATGTGCACCAAATAATAATCAACATGAATTTTTGAGGAATGGGGATTTAAATGCAGTAGTTGATGTTAAGTAAGATTATAAGAGTAGTAAAAAGAACAAAAAGAAGAAAAATATATTACTAAAATCGTTCTTTGACATGGTAACAGAATGCAACCTTCAGGATATATGGAGAGAGATACATAGATCAGACGAACAATATACGTTTTATTTGTATCCACATCAGTCTTGGTCTAGGATCGATATGGCCTGGGCAACAACAGACATACAAAAAGGGATGAAGGAAATTGAAATAGGGTTTAATGATTGGGCGGATCACAATTCAATAATAATAAAATGGAAAGGCCAGAAACAGAGAAAAAGATGGTCAATGAATCAAAGACTGTGTAAAGATAACAATATATACAGATGCTAGAAAAGGAGCTGATATCACCAGGCCCAGATGGAATTCTGGTCGAGTTTTATAAAAATACACAAGAGTCACTACAATGGATAATGTTGGAGATTTAATGAGGTGTTGGAAGAGGCGAAGATACCGACGGTTGGAGACTAGAAATAATAGAGGAGAATAAATATGGAAAGGTCAAAAGTAAAAATATGTGTATAATAATGTATAATAATAATAATATGAATTATTCCTAGTAAGTACTAGAATATGAAGGAAAGAAAATGTAAATAAGAAACAATGGGGAAATAAGGACAAATATTCTAAAGAAGAATGAGGGAGGAAATGTAAATAATAGAAGAGTAACATTACATAATCGCTGTTTTAAAAAAAGAATATATTGTGTGTGTGTGTGTGTAATGTTTTGCTGTGTTTTGTTTTGTTGGTTAAAAATAAAAATTTATATATATATAAAAAGAATGCAAATGACCAGCTGTTTGCAAGGAGAATAAATCCTTCCAGTCTCCACCATCCAGTCAGAGCGGAGGAAGCTCCTTAGAGAGAAGCAAAATGTCTTCAAACAAAAACAAAAAAGTCCAGTTGTCTCCTGAAAAAGCACCTTTAGGAAAACACAGTCATGTGACTGCAGGATTGTCAATTTTCGAAGCATGATTTTGCTGGTGTGATAATTATTCCTTTTCGGCTGCCAATGAACTCCAGGAGGGGGAAGAAAGGAAGGGTTTGGAATGCAGTCATCAAAGATTCAGAAGCTAGACCATGAGACTCAAGGACATTGCACCAGGTGTTTGACAGATCCAGAGACACTTTCTCATAACAATATTTTTCTACTTGATTGGGCTACGTGACCTGACCCAGAGGGAGGAGGGAGAATTCCATGCTTTTCCTATATCGGTTTGAGAGGGATCTTGCCAGAGCTGGTTTTGCTTTCATGTGTGCCGAAATGATGAACTCAATAAAGTTTTACATTAAGAGATTGGAATTTCTCAAAGGTGTTTGCTTGGTTGGGTTCGTCAGTCGGAACCTTGACGGTAATAAAATAAAATAATAAATATGGCATACAAAATTTAAACGGACAAACCTACCTGAAGGGCTCCAGGCAGCCCATAATATTTTTATAGCAGGCTGAGAAAATTTTGAACCTGGACTGTTCCCCATTCCTACCCATCCGTCATTCTCACCGACAGCTTTGCTTGCATTTGCTCTCAGATACATTTCACAGCCTGGACTTTGATTCTCGTATACAAAACACAAAAATATTTGGTAATAATTCTACTCACGAGAAGGATCATTCCTGGGATCATCCGCTCCTCTCCTGAATCCTAGATTGCAGAAAGAGAGAGCAAAAAGAGGAGACGTTAGGAGAAAAGCTCAGGGGAAGGCAGTCAATGATGGGAAGGCGTAAACTTTCATGACCTCACTTCAAAAGATGCATATTGCAAAAGCTGTGCCTTTTAACAAAATGTGTTAATCTGAAAAAGGGTTTCCAAAAGTCTAGGGAAAAAAATAGGACTTTAATGTTCTCCAAAAAGAAGACAGATAGGAAGGCCTGGAAAAAAACCAGAAAAATTGGGGAAAAAACTGTTTGTCCATTTTTTTCCAAATGGCTTTGGGGGGAAAAAAGGAAAAAAACAGAACACTCCCCTCCCCTGTTTTTCCCCATTTTTTCTGGGTTTTTTTTCCAGGCCTTCCCATCTCTACTGGGGACTAACCAAATCTCAGGGAGGGGAGGTTATTGCCCTGTTTCCAAAAGACATTGCCAACACATCAGGAATCAAAGCATGCCAACCTCACACGGCAACAGGCCTTCCAAATAGGATCAAATCAGTCCCTCTCTTAGGGCAGAGAACCCAGGATCCTGGCTTTGATACAAATGGATCGTGTTAAGATATTCAAATTTAGTTGCTGGAGCAGTGGGGTTGTGCAGTGAGCCAAAACACACAGGGGTTGTTTTCAACATCCAGCTTGAGGATCCAAATAAATCATCAGATTCACTCTGTTTCTGAAAATCTTACTGTTTATTGAATACACGGCATGGTAATGTCAAAGCAAAATTAATTTTGAGGTTCCCAGACACCAATTCATAGAATTAAACAAATAAAACAAATATACATACATATAGACACAGATTAGGGGTTTTAATTCCTAGTCCATGTCTATATGCATGTATATTTGCTTTTATGTATTTCCAGATTTTGGGGAGGCGATATGTCAAGAATGAAACTTTGGCAGCTACGTGCCTGTTCATTTTGACTTGCTATTTCTTTAGGCGTCATGCATATTTGTTTTTAACTAGGTACCGATTGGTTTGAGTGTGCTGACTCCTGCTTGAGGCAAACTGCACTGTGATTGGTTGCTGTGGGTGCGGCAGAAGAGGAGTGTTCCTTTTTTCCCGCCTTTTTTCTTCTGTGTGCCTTCTGGGCTCTGCGATTTACCTCACGATGCTCCTGTTTGCCTATCTAGTCTGCTGTATATAGAAATGTTAAATATATTTATTTATATAAACCTACAAGTTCGTGTCAGTGTCTCTGACTTTATTCCCTGACAGGATCACCTGATTATCAATGATCAATGGATCATTCCCCAGGAGGGAAGGGAAACGGAGAAAGCAGCAAGCAGAAGCAGCAGCTGGGAGGGGAGGAAGATTTTCACTGAAGCCCTTCTCTTTGAACAAAGCCTTTGAGAGGGACAGAACTGGAATGCTTCTTCCCAATTCAGAAGAAGACAGGACTGTCCAAACCTTGGACTCATCTGAACTGAGACTGGAATCCCAGCAAGAGGCTGAGATCTCAGATGCTCCTTAAGTCGGCTGGGAAAACAGGGAAAAAGGAAGCCCAGAAAAAGAAGAGAAACAGTTTGGGCTAGTGGTTAGGGCACTGGGCTAGAAAGCGGAAGACCATGCTTGAGATCAGGTCCTGCCTTAACCACAAAAGGGAGACACATGAAAGAAATTGATCCATCCATCCACCCAGAAAAGGATACTTACTGAGAAATGCCAAGATCCCAGAAATTGCACACACCAAGATAACGCCAGCCACACTAACACCGATGATGAGCCCCAGACTGGAACTGGATTCTGGAACTGGATTGGGAGAAAGAGCAAATCACTCCATGGAAACCACAAAATATCTACTTATTGGAGGAAAAGATCTCAAACAGCAAGAAAAATAAGGGATCTACCAAGTTAAGAAATGTCAGATGTGTTTACGTGATAGGAGACGTGTAGAGTAGAGTAGAGTAGAGTAGAGTAGAGTAGAGTAGAGTAGAGTAGAGTAGAGTAGAGTAGAATAGAATAGAATAGAATAGAATAGAATAGAATAGAATAGAATAGAATAGAATAGAATAGAATAGAAGCAATGGATGGAAACTAGTCAAACAGAGAAGGAACCTATATCTAAGAAGAAAGAACAATTAATCAGTGGAACAACCTGCCTCCAGAAGTTGTAAATGCTCCAACACTGGAAGTTTTTAAGAAGAGACTGGACAGCCATTTGTCTGAAATGGTATAGGGTTTCCTGCCTGAGCAGGGGGTTGGACTAAATGACCTCCAAGGTCCCTTCCAACTCTACTACTACTATTTATTGTTGTTGTTGTTGTTACTGTTGTTGTTATTACTATTATTATTATATATCTGGGCACAATTTCTCTCCCATAATCCTCCAAAGAGCCCAGCCTTTCCCTCCCTGCAGCCTCTCACCCTTCAGGTCCAGATCCAGAGGCTGCTGCAAGCCATTGTGCTCCACGTGGCACCGATAGCGGCCCCTCTCCTTGGGATCGATCTGGATTCCGAGCGAGTAATAGTAGGTCCCATCTGAGTTGGGGGCCAGAGACTCATGGAAGGTGTCTTGCAGCCAGAATTCCCCATCCCTTGTCCAGGAGGCATCGATCTCCCTCGGGTAGAAGCCGTGGATTCGGCAGACATGCCTCTCCATACCATCGGCTTCTGTCCTGCTGCTCATCGTCACCACTGGAGGAACTGGGGAAAAAAGGGGGGTTAGAATCAAAACTGAGCCTCTCCGGAAATTAGCTTGACATGCATCGCACGTACAACCAGAAATAAAAGTCTCCAAATAAATCAAGCTGCTTTGAATAATTTCTTTCGGCCAGAAAAACAAACATAAAAGCACTTTATTAAATACAGTTAACCCTCGACTGACAACATTTAGTGATTGTTCAAAGTTACAACAGCACAGGAAAAAGTGACTTAGTTTTTCACACCTACAACCGTTGCAGCATCCCCATGGTCACATGATCAAAATTCAGATGCTAGGCAACTGACTTGTATTTATGATGGTTGCAGTGTCCAGGGGGTCATATGATCACCTTTTACGACCTTCCGACAAGCAAAGTCAGTGGGGAAGCCATATTCTCCTAACAACCGTGTTACTCATTTAATAACTGCTGTGATTCACTTAACAGCTATAAGAAGCCGTAAAATGGGGCAAAATTCACTTAACAAATTTCTCACTTCGCAACAGAAATTTTGGGCTTGTGATTTTAAGTTGAGCTGTATTATTATTTTCTCTGTTGCCTTGCAAGTACAGTGAGTGTTTCTGTCCCGGAGACAAATTTCTTGTGTGTCTAATCACCTGTGGCCAAATCAAGTATTCAATTTGATTTGATTTGATTTGAATGAACTCTTCTGGTCCTGCTTCCTGTCTGGATTACTGTCATGGTTCCAACTAACGAAACACTTCAAAGAACTTCAAGGCATTGTTTATCCTAAAAAGTCTTTAATCGTGAAATAAAGTGTTGGCACAGCATGGTGGATGCCAAGATCTGAATTCCCCTCCCCTGAGCACACATTAGTCAAGCATAATTCCCTCCTCTAATTTGCAGTCATAAATCACATTCTCCAATCAGTTTGAAGGGCAAAGTTTCCCTTCCGTTCTGTAGCCTGCAGTTTCTTATCTTAACTAATCCCCACACACATTCTTTCTTCTCCCCTCCCAGCATCATCTAATTTAACTCTAAAAGTACCACACATCTTATACAGAGAGTGGCTGTCTCTTCATATTTTGTCAAAGCAAGAACATCCAACGTTAGCAGCACTGACAATTACCTTACAAGATTGACACTACTATTTCCACTTCTAGAGACTGATTTTTTAAAAAAAAAAATATCAGAGAGGGCTAAAAACAAGGGCAGCATCAAGGCTGCAATTGCTTGGACGACTCCCCAGATTCTTCCTCAGAGATCTGGAACTCGGTTAAATAATGACTCTGAACAGCCAGCCGAAAGAGAATCAGAGGAGGCTTCAGCTGGGGAAAGCGTGCAGGGACAAGACAGCCAGCAAAGAGGAGGAGGAACTGCCCCCTGCACCTTATCCGAGAGCACACAGGGCAGAGAAAAGGCAGGCACAATGGAGATCAGCCAGATTACTCGGGAGGAGAAGGCCCTGCCCGTCTTGATAGGCTGCATTGGGAAGCTGGGTATTTAAGACAGCAGGAATAGGAAGGCGTTACTGGGAACGTGTCAGTTTGCCAGCTGTTTCTTTCCTCGTTGTGCTTTCTGCTTCACTGTGTTTGGAATCGTGCCTTGGAGACTCTGAACCTTTCTTGTTAAGTGAGCTGTCGTGTGTGTATTTAATTTTGGCCTGGTGGATTTAAGTTTGTTTCGTGCAGCTATTTGTTTGAGCAACTTTCACTTATTTATAGACTATTGACCAGTTGCTTTGTGGACTAATCTTGGCATGCTTGTGGCTGAGCCTATAGGGACATTTCTGAATATTGGTAAAGGGAATTACTGGGGAACATTAATACACTCACTAAACCACAGTTACCTGGGTGTGAGTGAGTGGGGCAGCACATCGACTGACAATCGCCAGCAGAAAACAAGCCAACTGGGTCATTTGGCCTTTGCCAGCAAACCTACACAGGAAACACTTGCAACACTTAAGCAGATGCAGCTCCCATACTTTCTCTCTGGCTGTTTCTCCATACCTTCCCTCAAGGATGTCTCTGATCTGTAGTGGTCGTTCTTCTGCAGCCACTCCGTGCAAATGCTCTCCAGGAAATCTGTGAAATGCTGACTGGCGGCAGTTTCAACCCTCCGCTTGATCTCCTGGGCTTCTTTATCAACTGCTGTCCAGATGCCGGTCGCCATGTCGTAGCCAAGGAAATCCCGCCCGTCATAGCCATACTGCCAGCGGCCGCTCCATTTCCTATCTTCCCCTACTTCACAGAAGACCATCAACTGGACGATGTGAAAGCCTAAAAGAAGCATCCCCAAGGTTAGGAGGAAAAGCTCTTTAGGAAATCAGAGAAAGCCACTTCCTGCTGGAGCTCCAGAGTCTGTGACTGCTGAAACAAGAAAGCAATAAAGACAAGGATTACAGGAAGAAATCTTGAAGGCAAGTCAAGGTTGAGACAGAATTTGGGATCTGTAAGACAGATTTCTCACTATAAAGGAACTTACTATAAACAAGGCTGGGAAATTCCTCATACAGCCTAAAATTCCTTAATTAAGATAGGATTTCTTAGAGGCTCACATCTTCTGGCACTGGAGTGAAGTCGCCTTTCCTGAGATCACTTTTAGATAACTCAAAATTGTGAAGGCAAAAGATCTATATTATTAGCACTTGTGGATGATATTTGTTACAGATGTTGAGACTCTAGAAAGAGTGCAGAGAAGAGCAACAAAGATGATCAGGGGACTGGAGGCTAAAATATATAAGGAACGGTTGCTGGAATGGGTATGTCTAGTAGTTTAATGAAGAGAAGAATGAGGGGGGACATGATAGCAGTGTTCCAATATCAGGGCCTGCCCCAAGAACAGGGGGTCAACCTCTTCTCCAAAGCACCTGAGGGCAGGACAAGAAGCAATGAATGGAAACTAATCAAGGAGAGAAGCAACCAAGAACTGAGGAGAAGTTTCCCGACAGTGAGCACAATTAACCAGTGGAACAATTTGCTTCCAGAACCTATGAATGCTCCAACACTGGAAGTTTTTAAGAAGAGACTGGACAAAAATTTGTCTGAAATTATATAGGGTTTTCTGCCTGAGCAGTGGGTTGGACTAAAAGATCTCTAATGTCTATTCTATTCTATTCTATTCTATTCTATTCTATTCTATTCTATTCTATTCTATTCTATTCTATTCTATTCTATTCTATTCCATTCCATTCTCTGTGGTTGCTATGAAAATTATACGGATGTACAGGTAGCCTGATGACTGTTAGGTTTAGCGACTGTTCAAAGTTAGATGGGCCTCCCCAAAGGTACTTATGATCTCATTCCGAAACCAACAGCTGTTTCCCTCCCTGTGGTCACATGACTGTATTTCAGCCACTCAGCAACCACTGTGTATTTACCGCCATTTGCAGCTTTCCATAGTCATGTGATTGCAATTTGTGACATTTTTTTGCCCCAAACTGGCATTTTCTTCCAATTTTTGGCAAAAACAGCCCATGATCACATGTGCATTAGGGAGGCGGATCGTCTTCAGAGACAGAATGGATTTCTTCCCAGTCGATTCCAGCCTGACTCCAAGGTTGCTGAGCCCTGAGGATGACCCGCTATCCATCCTGTATCTCAGCATTCTCAAAACAATCTTTCAGCACTGTATTGGCTTCCGGTGGACTGGTCAGAGAGGTTGGGTTTCTGCGGGGGAAGAATAGCTTGGTGCTTTGCACAGGAATGTTAGATTCCACTTGGCCTTACTGCAACCACCATCTCTCGGTAAAAGTTCTTTTGCTTAACCACAAGGCATCAAGAGTTGTCCTTTCCTAGTTCTGGTTTGTGGTGGTGCGGTCGGGTGAAAGGAGTCGTCTCTTTGCCGACCGAGTTTCCCCTGCCGGTAGACCCCTGAAAGGGTCGAAAAGACGCTCTGGAGGAGCGTCTACCATTGAGGATAGATAGTTGCAGAGGAGCGGCAGCGTCCTCTGTGCACCGAGTATCTCCTTTGGGCCAACAGGGTAAAGATCAGCCAGTAAAATGGCGGATCATTTAGCTGCGCCAAGCGCAAGCCACAAGATCAGCTAAGCAAATGGACTCACTGTGGAGAACTCAATGAGACTTTCATTTCACCTCTATTTTCTTTATGCCTGTGAAAAGTTTTTTTTTTCTTGGAATTACTCCCTTTGCTGGTGAAGCAGCTTCTTAAATGGGGGAAGAGAAGCTCAAAGGATTAAATTTATTTTTGTTTTAATGGTTGATTTTATTTTTGGATATTGGGAACCTCAAGAAAGTTTTTTATAATATTTGGAGAATACTGTTTGCTTTTATCTTTATGATGTTCGGAAGGATTGAATATCTGACTAATCTTGATTATTTTCTGGGGGACATTCTCTGACAAATCTATTCACTACATTAGCTATTTTTTCTTCGCTGGAAAGGCTTTCATTTTGTACAAAGGAAAAAGATGAGGAAGCTGGCAGGAGATGGATATTGTGGGTTGTTTTGTTTGTTTTGGGTTACGGTTGTGATTCCTCGCCAGCCAGTGGATCAGGCAGGTGAGTTCTGAAGAATCAGATGAGGAGAAGGGACCTGCAGTGACATTAGAGTCAGAGGAAAGATCTGAGGAGCTCCAAGACTTACAGTCGGACAAGGAGCCTGGCCCCTCTACTCACATGCAGGCTGAGACACAGCTGTGCTAGAAGCCTGAGTTGGACAGTGATGAAGAACAGTTGGGAAATATGCAGGATGCACAAAAGCACAGGCAAGAGAAGCGAGTAGGATAGAGGAGTGCAATGGGGTGGCTCCAAAGACAAAGGAGAAAGCATTAGGAAGCCACGCCTTAGCTGAATTATAAAAGGGAAAGTGTGGGAGGTGCTGGTTGCTGAAGGCAACCGTTCGTGTTGAGGATCAAGTTTCTGTGAACTGTTTGTTTGCCTTGGACATTGACTTAGGTCTGTGAGAATAAAAGGGGTTGGTTTTTTCTTGCCGTTCCTGCCTGCTTGTTGAAAGAGGGGTTTCTCCTTGTGAGCATAACAAGGACTCACGTAGGCTGGGGCAGAACAGTTACTAACTTATCAACTGCAGTGATTCGCTTAACTGGGGTAAGAAAGGTCATAAAATGGGACAAAACTCACTTGACAAATGTCTCACTTAGCAACAGAAATGTTGGGCTTGATTTGCTCAATTTTCTGCACCCACACACAAAAAAATTCACATTCCTGATGCTTCTCGGTGGGACTGTCATATTTTCATTTTAGACTCGAGCCCACTTGAGTTCTGCAAGAGGGAAAAGGCCAGGGCATCAGCAACCAGCTTATTGTGGACCAATCGGTCTGATTCATGAGGAAGGCAGAAAGATCCCTAAGAAAACGGAGCTTTCCCCTCTGTCTCCTTTCTTGCAGGATAACACCCATGTCTCTCCCACACCTCACTTACCTCCACTTTGGTTATAGAGTCTCTGGAGCATGGGCACGTGCTCCTTAAAGTATTCCTCGTCTTTTTGCAAAATCCAGATGTACTTGTTATAGAATCTGGAATCTTCCTTCTCCAGTGTATTTATCCAATCTACTCGAGGATGCAGCCTCCTGGTGTGGCTTTCGTAGCGAGTGATGAGCTGATCATCTATATAACCTTCAACTGTGAAGGGTGGCAGCCCTGGACAAGCCTCCGTCGCAGCAGAGTAGCTCACACGGAGTATGCGAGGGGAGGAGCCTAGGGAGAAACGAGAGCAGAACGGAGCTAGGAGGGACTGGAGACAGGTTACAGACTGAGGCTCCAGAGAAGTTGCAGCATAAGGTGCAATATGGGACTGTCAGAGCTGCCATCAAACACTTGGCATTCGTGGCTGTCAGCCTGCCATGAAATATGGAGGGAGGACGGAGGGAGGGGAAAGTGAAACAGTTGAATCTGGTGGGGGTACCACTCAGAGTCTTCAAAGTTGTTACCCTGGGAGAATAATGCAAAATCATTGCAAAAACAGTTTATTCAAATATAACTGGACAATAAGGGGCCAGGGTAAAAAGACTGATTCACCCTACATTTTCTTCCTTGCTCATAGCTTGACAAGATTGTGGGATGCAAAGGTGGAAGGGATGGTATCTAGGCAACCGAGGCATCTTTGATGCTTGGTGCTGATAACGCCAAGGTCACTAACGCAGGTGCTCGATGGAGAAGTGGACTTTTCCCATAACAAGAAGTATTACTGTTAGACAATGTGAACACCTGATGGGTGGGGGTGAGGGATTGTTTAATTAAGGAAGCTTTTGAGTGGGAAAACCAGAGCTGGTGTCAACTCTATAAATGAGCATGGCTGCAACCATTTTCCTTCTTATTCTAGGTTGCCACATAGAACGGAGGGAGAGGTGTTGCCCAGGTGCTTCACTAGTCAAAATAATCTTTTGTCTCATGGGAACCAAGGTCATTGGCTGTTCCCGAGACTAGGGACTGGGCATTTCATAAAAATCCACCAAATAATTATATTGGGGAATGTAGTTGCTTGCATAGCTTCTGTCTTCCTTTACTAAAAAAACAAGCTGGGGGCAGGTCTGACAGAGACCTTCACCCAAGTTATACATTTTGAAATAAATATAGTCCATGATTTACATGCACAATTGGGACCAGATTTTCCGTTTTAAGTTTTTGCAGTCAGGCCCAATTTTATGAGAATTTTTACAGCGTCCATTAAGCAAATCATATAGTTCTTAAGTGACTAATATGATCATTAAACAAATTCAGCTTCCCCAATGGGCATTTTTTGCCAGGAATCAGACAAAAAAAAAAAAGGAAATCTTGATCATGTGGCCAACTGATCAGAAAGCTGGTTGCCAAATGCTCAAGCTGCAACCGTGTGTGTGTTTGTGTGTGTGTGTGTGAGAGAGAGTCATGTGAGCTCAGGCCTTAAATCATTTTTCCTTAGGCTGTCATAACTTAGAATAGAATAATTACTTTAATGCTAGTTTTTATGGTGGTTCTATGTCAATGAGCGATATGAGAGAATATGATAAACATTTCAATATAAAAAAGTTTACTGTTAGATATTTATTAAATGATATAGGTTACAAAATGAACTGGCACTGTGAGAATATTGGACCAACCTAAAACTAATAGATGAAGTTAGTTAAGAAACAAAAAAATGTAATTATAACATATTTAAAATTGTTACAGGCAGAAACTGCTTGTTTATAAAAACTCATTTAATGGAACAAGATAAATATTAATGAAGGATTGGATGGGACTGGTCTGTCTCACAGATACTTTGAGGAAAAACTAAAAGTGTGTCCATTTTGCTTCAAAAAGGATTTCCAATTGATGTGCAATACATTACTACTGTAAATGGTTGTTATTTAATTTTAAATGCTAAAATAGCAGGACTTGTAATAGCTATGGTTAACATTAATGGATGTAATTTAGGTTCTCCTATTATGTTTTATTAATTTCTCCAATAATTGAATGAGTGTATTTATGACAAGGTAAAGGAGGGGATTTTAATGAAGCATTAGACCCCAAACTGGCTAGATACACCAGCTTGATATTCTAGCATTAACTATGAGTTTGAGTTAATGCTTACCTATCATACAAAAAACAAGAAGCAAATATTACTTTAATACTAAAAGAAGACTCAGATTTGACACAGATAAAAAACTACAGACCGATTAGTTTTTTCAATTCAATTCATTATTGAATGTGGACTATAAATTTTTTACTTCAATAATGGCTGAGAGACTGAAAAGATACTTAACTGAATTTATACATTCAGACCAGAATGGTTTCTTACCAAAGAGACAAATTAAAAACAATCTAAGAGTGATAATGGATGTATTAGAATACTATGAATTTTATCCAGGGAAATAAATGGCACTAATATTTCTAGATGCTCAAAAGGCGTTTGATAATGTTTATGATTCAGCAATTACAAATAATGGACTTTGGACAGAATTTTATAAATATGATAAAAACGATATATAATAAACAAACAGTGAAAGTGATTATGAATGGTGATTATACTGAGAACTTTGAGATAAGGAAAGGAACAAGGCAAGGATGTCCATTATCTCCATTGTTATTTATTTTTACTTTGGAAGTCTTAAACAGAAATATTAGACAAGATATACAACTCAAAGGACTAGAAATAAAAGGCAAAACATATAAATTGCAAGCATTTAATGATGATTCAATGTTCATTTTAGAAGAACCTTTGGAGATGATTCCTAAACTATTGGGAAAGATAGAACAGTATGGAGAAATGGCAGGACTGAAAATAAACAAAGAAAAAACTAAAGTAATAGTTAAAAATCTTACAGATAAAAAACAACAACAAGTATTAGAAAAACAGAATTACAGATAGTTAAAAAGGTTAAATATTTAGGAATACAATTGACAGCAAGATGTTCAACGATAAAAGAAGATAATTATATAAAATTATTAAATCAAATAAAATTGGATTTGGAAAAATGGAAAAATTTGCAATTGTCAATACTAAGAAGAATTGCTACAGTGAAAATGAATTTACTACCAAAAAATTTATTTTTATTTCAAACAATACCTATAAAATTGCAGAATTTTTTTTAAAGATTTGAATTCATTAATTTTGAAATTCATTTGGCAAGGAAAGAAAGCTAGAATTAAGATGAAAATGTTACAAGATGCTAAAGGAAATGGGGGATTTGGCCTACCAGAGTGGGTTCTATACTATCAAGCATCCGTATTAACAGGGGTAAAAGAATGGATAATTCTTAAAAATAAAAGGTTGTTATATCTGGAGGGGCATGATGTACAATTATGATATGGGAAAAATAAAGTTCATAAACATTCCCAAAATCACTATATAAGAAATGCATTGTTAACAACATGGGAAAAAATAAAAAGCAAATTCCAGGGTGGTTGTCAGCAATGGAAGCATTTGTACACCCAAATTTAGTGAACTTTGAAAATATCTGGACATATAGAGATATTCTAAGTCTGAAGGACACTTAAAATATAAACAAGAAATGGAAAATCAGGGCATCAACTTATCATGGTGGACACATTTACCAATACAAACTAGATATGATAAAGATGTTAAAAATGTATGGATTTTATAAGGAACAACCTGTGTTTGATAAGACTTTGTTAACTTCAGTTGAAATATTAATTAAGAAAATGTATAATTTTTTATTAAGTTTAGAAAGGGAAGGCAAACAAGTTAAAGAAACAATGATAAGATGGGCGAAAAATTGTGGATACAATATTGTTCTGGATCATATAGTTCTATGTAACCCTAGCTAGAGAGCATGTATCTCTGTATGTTAGAATATCTGGCATTTATTGAGTTAAGTGCTGTTTCCTTAAGAGATGGATTATGGGAAATGCAGTTTAGCTAGTCAGTCATCTCATGTTAATGGGTCAGTAGGAGGAGTTCTTCTCAGGACATACTGGCTAGTGCCCAGTTTGGAATGTCTTTGTTCATCCAGCCTCATGTCTCCTAGCCAAATGGCTTGGAGATCCTATGCCAACATGTGATGCTTATGCAGAAGAAGAGGGGAAAATTCAATATCAATTTACCTGTGGAACGAACTATATTGCTAAATATTCTTTTGGACGTATCTCTGCAAAACTGTAAGTCATTGTTTAGGATTCCCAGAATAAAGCCATATTTTCTGTTTGTTCTTCTGAGTTATTTGTCTGTCTTGGATTGGATGGAAAGCAGTCTGTTCCATCTGGGACAGCATAGTAAATTGATAGGATTAATTCTCCTCTGCTCTCCTGCAACAGTTTGAAGGCAGAAAAGTAAATTTATTAGCCTTTCTCTACATCAGCCCTTAAGGAAGTAAAGTGAAGATTCTCTTGCAAGTGAAAGAATGCTCAGAGTTCATATCGGCTTTATAAAGGCAAAAGTAATTGATGTGGCTAATTTCCTTTAAACGCCTGCAAAGTAAATTCAAAGTATCTTCGCATTTGACTCTGAACTAAAGAAAGGTAAAAGTTATAAAGTGCTTTGTGTCTTGTTTGGATGCTTCTGCTAAATTACCTTTGGATCTGTTCACAAGCCAACGTTTAAAGCAAAGAGATATTGTGATATCTATCTCACTAAGTAGAAGAGAGAAATCTGCATTCTTATTGTAAGATTTTCTTGCATGTAAGTCTGTATTTCTAACAACAAAAGGAGCTTTGGGCTTTTACCTCCCTTTTTTGTTCCTTTGCCGATGATTTGAGCAACCTAAGACAAAGAACTGTTTAAAGACAGCCTCTAAAGTTCAAACAAAGGCTTGGCAATTAACTCAATTCACTGCCTTCAAAGGGGAAATGTCTCTCTCTCAGCCTGCCTAATGCAAATCAAGGATTTGAAATTTAAGTGTTTAGAAATATGTTGAGTTTTCATGCTTGAAGAGTAACAAAGCAACAACATATCTGTTTCTTCTTCATGAGTCTGCTAGCCAGAAAGAAAGCAGAGAGAGGCCCCTTCTAGGGCAATAAAAAGTAATTAACCTCTTCACCCAGCCACAGCACTGGTGAAAGAAGCTAAACTCCCCCCTCCCTTTGGAATTTCATCCATGCCAATGGGAAGACGGTGTTCAGAGGTCCCAATAGCAATGCAGTAGCATCCCCTGGTGGCCAATTTGTTTTTTCCTTCAGCAATCTTCTTGCAATTTAAATGTGGGATTGCAACAACTTGATAATTAATTCAGTACATAGCAGACTTATACCAAGCCAAGCTAAAAGCACCCCTTAGAGGGGAAAGAAGGTACTTCACTGCATACATCACTAACTACACTCACTAACAGAGTGAATCTGATGGTTAAAGAGCAAGTCATCTAAATTTATCCCAAGCTACCTAAACCCCCTAGAGGGCACAGAGTGAACTTCACCAAAGATAACCACTCAAGCTGACGACCAAGTAGTTCCAGTTTGAGGGAAATTAAGGAGAAGAACAGGTAGCAATTAGCCTTGCTTATTATCACAGAGCTGATGACTAAGTGGTTGCAGCCTGCAACATGACGACCAGGTGAGAGTTTGTAGGAGCGAATGCTGCTCTGCAATCTCTCAGTGGACAATAGCAGTAACATGGTAATAGGAAGAATTTTGGCTGGCCTTTCTTCAGACGCCCCCTAGTGGTTAAGGGAGGAATTACACGCAAGCCTTTAATCATGCCTAGAGAAAGCTCTCTAGTAGACAAATGGTGAACCTCGAAGGAAGAGCACCCTGGTAGCTGGCCCGCAGGAAGGGACCCCTAATGGGGAAAGGGTGAATTGTGCTGAAGTACCCACAAACGCAGGAGAATGCACCCAGTGGCACCTCCACCCACAGACAGCACCCCAGCAACTGATCTGCTTGCAGCGACCCCTAGTGATTAAAGAGAGGTTCATCTAATTTGCTTCAAAATAGCTAGGAAGTGTACTGAACCTGTCCTAGCCATGGCAGAGTGTCCCACTGATTTAGATGAAGGGGTTCAACCAACCAGCCTAGGTGAGACACCCCAACCAGCTGGTCAAGGAGAAATGCTGCAAACAGCCAACCTTGACCTGTACACAGAGGTTGTAGCTCAAGCCTCAGTGAAGCCAAAGATGTCTCAGGGTCACTATGATCTGAGACAACAAAAAAAGCCTACTGAAGTCATGCGGTCGAACCTGTTGGAGAAATGGGACACCATCCACAAGCACCATGAAAGATGCTGGGAGAGATTACACAAACTCTACCAAGAGCAAAAGGAGGAACTCTCCCTTGAACATGCGCATGCAGTGGAAGGAGATAAGGAAGATGCCTTTGCGCAATGGATGGACTCTGAACGGCAACTCAAGGACATTCAGGAGCAATTAAGAGACTCAAGAGTTGATAGCAAGATACAAAGCCTCAGGCTACTAAACGAGGAATGTAAGAAGCTTTTAGAGAGCCCACAAGACCTCCCAGAGCCTGAACCTCACCCGAGAGACAAACCGGTTGACAGGGCCGAGTCTGAAGTTTCCCGCCATTCATATGCAGCATCCCAATGGTCACATGCGGCTCCATCTCGTGTGTTGGAAAAGGCATCATCCTTTCGCCATATATCCAAGGCGATTCCAGCATGTCACAACAATCTCATGTCAAAGGTGCCTCCCACCATTCAAAGGCATCTTCTCGCCAGAGCCAAGCATCTCGAGCCTCAAGGACAGAAAGCATTGCCGCCCAACTCACACACGCACGAGTCAATACCACAAGGGCTGAAGCTGCTACACAAGCAGCAGTAGAAGACAAGCAGCAAAGAGAAGACTTGGCAAAAGTGGAGACAGCAGCAGCCCGAAGTATAGCAGAAGCTCGAGCCAACTTTAAGATTTCCCAGGGCCAACAGGAAGCAAAAGAGGCAGCAGCAGTACAAGTGGCTCTCCAGAGAGAACTAGAAGACTCTACATCCACAAACAGGCTGGAAGGGCTAGGAAGAGAAAGCCCTCATAGCTGCGTACAGGCCTACATGGACAACCAAAGCGCGTTCCAGCGTGAGCAGGTAAGAGCGCCACAGCTGGCCACAAGCCCCCCAAGACTGAGTAGACGAACAGAAGAATCTCAACAACCAGATGCGCCGGTCAGCCACAGAGTTGATGTCACGAGATCTTCCCACCGTCGCTGCCGCATTGAACCCACTGAACCATACTCTTGATGGCAACAGGAGGGGTCCGCCAGCAGCGGCAACGGCCACAAGATCTTTCCAACGTTGCTGCCCCACTGAACCATGCCACTGATGGCAACCAGATGGGTCTACCTGCAGCGCCAATGGCCCTACAGCAGAACCAGCAGCCACTCGGGGACGAGATTGAACGAGCTCGAGCCACACTAAAGTCCCTGCTGTGCCAACAGGAGTCAGCGTCCCAAGGAACCACCACCAGATCTGACCACAGAGGAGAGTCTCGACCACCAGCTGTGCCAGCATACCAGGGAGCCAGCTACGCCCCACCAGAAAGACAAGAGATCCTCCAACAAGTAAGCACGCAGGAACTTGGGTCCCCTCAGCTCAACGCCAGAGCAGAGGAGTTCAGACCAAGCCAACAAGGCCCCTCGCACGTGACATGGCAAAATACCCTCAGCCAAGAACACACCGAAGGAAGTTACCAGTCAGCCACAGCGCACACCCCCGCTCCTGGAAGCGATGCACCACCTCCACCAAACCACAGCGCACACACGGGATCAATGCATCCCCCAATGTTCGTTGAAAGAAGGTTGGACTTGGCAGCCAGAGACATACAAAGATTCTCCGACAAACCAGGAAGAGACTACTAATTGTGGAAGCACATCTTCAAGCGCGCCATCTTCGAGGAAAAGGCTGGGCCAGATGAGGAACTTGTCCAGTTGACAGCCTGGCTTGGTCCAAAATCCGTAATAAGAGTGAACAACATCTCTGCATCCCATCTAGGTAACCCTGACATCAGCCTTGAAAAGACTTGGGTCACACTTGACAAGGACTATGGTGAACCCACCATGATGGAGTCCTTGCTCCTGGACCATGTTCTCAGTTTCCCCAACATGAGAATCAACAAACTTCAGCAGCTGAAGACATTCTCAGCGCTCCTTACTCAACTACAGACAGCACAACAGAATCCTGCCTTGCCGGGACTAGCTTGCCTTGACCTGTTCAGGACACAAAATCCTATCATCCAAAAACTGTCATGGTTGATATGTGAACAATGGATCAGGTTTTCTCTGGATTATAGGAAAAGGATCCAAAACAAAATCCCTCCCTTTGTGGTTCTCGCTGAATTTATCAGTGACCAGGCAGACCTCTACAATGACCCCCTATATCTCTCCATCAGAGAAGTATACTTTCCAACAACCAAGTGAAGCATAAATATAGAACTAGAAAGATGGCAAAACTTATGGGAAAGAAATTATAAACTGACAATGTCAACTTCTTATAAAGAAAATTTATATAAAATGTTTTATAGATGGCACTTGCCACCAGCAAGATTAGCAAAAATGTTTAAAAGTATATCAGATAGATGTTGGAAATGTAAACATAAGTCAGGCACATATTATCATGTTTGGTGGACATGTGATAAAGCAAAGAACTATTGGAAAAAGATACATACTTGGTTAGAAAACATGTTAGCAGAACATGTTGATTTTAAACCTGAACTTTTTTTATTAGGTATAATGCCAGAAAAGATCAATAAACAAAGCTTATATTTCACTTTGCACATCACAAGAGCGACAAGAATTACATTTGCGCAATACTGGAAGAATGAAGAAGTACCATCAGATGAAGAAATAATTAAAAAAATACTAGAACGTGCAGAGATGGACAGATTGACTATGAGACTGAAAGAAAAGGAAGGACTATTATCAAACCTGGAACTTATTTTACTATTGGCTTGAGCAAAGAATAAAGGATTAGGAATTAAATATGTATTAGCATATATAAACTCAGACAGCACATTGGTTGAAAATTTATTATTGTTTGTATGGAAAAAAATGAATAAAAAACATAAAAAAAAAACAATATTAAAATAGCATGGAAAATAATTTGCAAAACGAGCTGAAGCATTGATGGACACAGAAGGCTAGATACCTCCATCTACAATTCCACACAGAGAAATATAGAAAAAGAATGTGAATTAAGTATTGTAATATTATCGCGGTCCTCGGTGCTCTCTGAGCTTGGTTTTTATGTATGCTTCTTTTCCTTTGAGGATGCACTTTTATTTTTGGGGGGGGGGTGTTAATCGTTATTTTAAAAGCGATAAAACAGTTTCACTTTAAAAAGTAAAAACTATGCAATAGGTGGGCTTGGCATGCTTAGCTGTCCTTCTATATTTAGGAAAAGCAGCAAAGAGAGCCCGTCTTGGACAAACTTTCTGTCCGTTTTTTTTTAAAAAATATATATTTTAAAACATTTAAAGAATTAAATAAATGACTAAAACAACCATTAAAAATAAAAGACATCGTGATTGGAAAGTAAAACGCTGGAAAAATCAACAGGGACTTTTCAATCATCATAAATGATGCCATTCATTATTGAGGGGGGTCCTTGGTGCTCTCTCTGAGCTGGCTTGTTCCCTTGCAGACGTTTCACAACACAGACTAGGACTAGCACTGATGAGGTGACCTAGTTTGGATCAGAAAACGTCCGCAAGAAAACAAAGCCAGCTCAGAGAGCAGCAAGGACCCTCTCGTGTCAACCCTGAGTTACGAATATTCTCCTTTATTAGTACAATACATGATTTCATGAATTCAGGGATCCCACCCGAGCAAGTCGCGCCTTCAGGGATGTCAGGGGGGGGTGGAGGGCAAAAAAGTCACGAACGGGGTCCTATCGCAGGTGGTGCCCGAGATCCTGACCTTGCAACCCATCTATTTCCCCCCCCCTTCCTGACCCAGCTGTCCAAAATAAGCCGTTGCGCCCCTCCAACTACGCCCCGGGACTCACCGAGGCTGCCTTCCAGAAGGCAGGAAGCGGCGGCCCCGAGAAGCCACAGGAGCCCCCAGCGCAGCCCCATCGCTTCGGCTGTCCCGCTGAGCGGCCGCTTGCATCGAAACTCTCCGCGCTTGCACTTTGGAACCGGGATGCCCAGCTCAGCTGGAACGCTGGAAAATCCCTCTCATTAAAGAGAGTTACGCTGGTAGAACGTGACGCAATAACGGGGGGCGTGGCTAGGGAGGGGCGTGGCCAAGATGTGCGGGATGGGGCTTGCTGGAATCCGGAGGGGGATAAAATACCTTGCCCAAAACAGAATGGGGGGGGGAGGGGGAAATAACACGGTCCGATTTCACACGAGACAGGCAGGCAGGCAGGTGAAGAACGTAATAGCATAGCATAGCATAGCATAGCATAGCATAGCATACAATACAATACAATACAATACAATACAATACAATACAGTGTGATAGGATTAAGTGAATGCTCTTCAAAATTTAATATTGAAAGTAATTTTTAAAATTGAATCTGCTGTGTACGAGGAGGGATATGATGGTCCGGACATTATTCCAGTATTTGAGGGGCTGCCACAAAAATGGGGGGGGCAGAAACAAAAATGTGGGGGAGGCTGTCTCATTTGGGGAGTCCGTACAGCGCCTGGCACAGAGCCCCAAGGCCAGCCCTTCTCTCTCAGCCCCAAGGAGGAGCCAATGGCAAACCAGTTCTGAAACACCTGGTTAATAATAATAATAATAATAATAATAATAATAATAATAATAATAATAATAATAATAATAATAATAATAATAATAATACAACAAGGATGCGGCTTGGTTAAAATCAGTCAGTACCTGACAAGGAAGAAACAGTGCAGTTCTGGAAGCAGATATGGGATAACCCAAAGAAATACAACAAGGATGCGGCTTGGTTAAAAGAGGTGGATGCAAATAAAACAGAAGTTGAAATGAAAGAACTAGTAATAACAACAAAAATGGTAGAAAAAAGAGCAAAGAAAATCAAAAATTGGTCAGCACCAGGTGAAGATGAACTGCATGGGTTTTGGTTGAAACATCTAACTGTTATACACCCACTCATTGCCAAGCAGTTCAACAATATACTACAAGGAGGAGAAATTGAAAAGTGGCTAACAACTGGGAAAACCTACCTAATAATGAAAAATCCAGCAAAAGGGGCAACACCAGGTAACTACAGGCCAATTACCTGCTTACCAACAACTTTCAAATTACTAACTGGTGTGGTAGCTGATGCAGTACAACAGCATCTAGTTGAAAACAATCTCTTTCCACCTGAGCAGAAAGGAAACCGCCCCAATAGCAGAGGAACAAAAGATCAACTCCTAATAGACAAAATGATCTTGGAAAACTGCAAGAGAAGGAAGACCAACCTGAATGTGGCATGGATTGACTACAAAAAGGCATTTGATTCTCTGCCACATGATTGGATAATAAAGTGCCTAGAAATAACAGGAGTCAGTAGAAACATCAGAAAATTTGTGCAAAGATCGATGGCACAATGGAAGACACAGTTGCAGATCAATGGTGAGAGCTGGGAGAGGTTAATATCAAGAGAGGAATATTTCAAGGAGATTCATTATCACCATTACTATTTGTTATTGCACTGTTTCCTCTGTCAACAATACTGAATAACTCAGGACATGGCTATCAAACATCAAAAACATCTGCCAGACTATCCCACCTCCTTTACATGGATGATCTGAAGCTGTATGGAAAAACATCATCTGAAATAGAATCGCTGCTCAACACTGTCCGTATATATAGCCAAGATATTGTAATGGAGTTTGGCTTGGACAAATGTGCCACACTTACTATCAAACAAGGAAAAATAGTGAAAACTGAAGGAATCAAGATGCCCCACGAAAATAACATTAAGAGTCTGGATGAGGAAGATTACTACAAATACTTGGGTATCCTTCAAGCTGACAACATCAAGCACACTGAAGTCAAGAAAAAGATTAGAGGTGAATACATCAAGAGAGTGAAGAAGATCTTAAAGTCCAAACTCAATGGAGGAAATACCATAAGGGCAATCAACACCTGGGCAATCCCAGTCATTAGGTACACAGCTGGAATAGTGGACTGGACTCAAGCAGAACTAAAAGCAATGGATAGGCAGACCAGAAAAATAATGACAATGAATCATGCCCTTCATCCACGCAGTGACATTGATAGACTTTATCTACCAAGGCAAATAGGTGGGCGTGGAATGCTACAAGTACATCAGATGGTTGAAGAAGAAAAAATGGCTTTGGAAGAATATCTGAAGAACAATGATGAAGATGCACTGAAATTAGTATATCAGGAAGGCTTACTAACTACTGGAGAGACCAAACTGGCCTACAAGAAAGATCAAATGAAGAACAGAATAGAGGCATGGGAAGACAAAGCACTACATGGCCAATACATGAAAAAAATAGCTGGGAAAGCAGATAATAATAAAACCTGGCAATGGCTAAGAGCAGGAAAATTGAAGAAAGAGACCGAGGGACTAATTCTGGCTGCACAAGACCAAGCCTTAAGGACAAATGCATACAAAGTCAAAATTGAGAAGACAGCAACAGACAGTAAGTGCCGCCTATGCAAAGAAGCTGAAGAAACAGTGGACCACTTGGTAAGCTGTTGCAAGAAGATTGCACAGACTGATTACAAGCAGCGGCATGACAAAGTAGCAACAATGGTGCATTGGAAGATCTGCAAAAAATATCATTTGCCTGTAAGCAAAAACTGGTGGGATCATAAAATAGAGAAAGTCATAGAAAATGATAAAATTAAACTGCTCTGGGACTTCAGAATTCAAACAGACAAGCACCTGCAACATAACACCCCAGACTTAACAATTGTCGATAAGAAAGACAAAAAAGTCTGGATAGTGGACGTGGCAGTGCCTGGAGACAGCAGAATAGAAGAGAAAGAACTGGAGAAGATAACAAAATACAAAGACCTACAAATAGAAATAGAAAGACTATGGCAAAAGCAAGCAAGGGTAGTACCAATAGTCATAGGCGCCTGGAGCACCACTTGAACACCATTGGCATTGACAAATTTGCTATTAGTCAATTGCAAAAGGCGGCCTTACTAGGAACTGCTTCCATCCTGCGACGATATCTGTAATACCATCAAACATCCACATCTGCCTATCCCAGGTCCTGGGTAAGGACTCGATAGGTAGACAAAATGCCAAATCCAGTCTGAACATCTGGCTGACTGTGCGATGATCCATAATAATAATAGTAGTAGTAGTAATAATAGTAGTAGTAGTAGTAATAATAATAATAAATAATAATAAAAACTCGCAGTCGGGGCAGTCGCCAGGAATCACAAAAACTGGCTAGAATCAGGGGTCTTCAAACTTGGCCCATTTTATGACCTGTGGACTTCAACTCCCAGAATTCCTCAGCCAGCCTTGAAGACCCCTGGGCTAGATGGCACCAAAATTGGGGGGGGGGGGGGAACCACACCAGAAAGAAAGCTGAATTTTCTTCTGCACAGAAAATGTCCAAAGACTCGGCTGGCACCTTAAACACTTGTATTTCATAGGGGGGAGGGGAATCCTCTAATCCCTTATTTGTTATTATTCTAGAGTAAAGGCACTCATTTATCCAAAGCTCCAAACTTCTTTTGTTGGGGTTTGGGGGGGGGGGGGCAATAAAAGCCATCTTTAAAATGTTAAATTAAATTTTAATTAATTAAATTATTTTTCCAAAAATTAAATGCTAGCTTAAAATTCCCAACTCTGCCCAACCTCAACCACCCTGGGAACAGACCCCTGCTCGCCTCAGGTGGTGTGCACAACGCACCGGATACGCCATGCATTGTTTTTTTGTGTGGTTTCCTTTTACCTTTTGAACTGTTGCAACTGGTTGAACATCTGTACCAAAGGCACGGTCTACGTGGAGGGAGTTATGCGGTAGGGTGCCTGAAGGTCCTGGCTGGGGCCCCGGGCCTTTACAAGATTTTTGTACGTGGCTTAGACAAAAAGGAACGCTCAGCTAGAACAGAACAGAACAGAACAGAATAGAATAGAATAGAATAATTGAAAGGGACCTTGGAGGTCTTCCAGTCCAACCACCGAAAATCCTTTTCCAGCTGTTTTGCAAATGAATAAATTTGTAATGGTTCTTTTGTTATGTACCCAGATAGTATTGTGGAAAACAAGAAATGTTGCCCCTTCATAGGGATAGGAATGAATAAACATAGAATAGTTTCCATATTGATTTAATGCTTTAACTTGAACTTTATGTTATTTCACAATAAGAATGTGCTATTTGTAATCTGCTGAGCTTTGTGCAATATATAAAATGCAATGTATGCAATGTATATATATATATGTATGTATGTATGTATGTATGTATATGTATATGTATATGTATATTTGGAATATACAAATTTTACCGTGGGGAAAGGGGAAGTGAAAATAGCAGATACATAGAAATTTCAGATAGGAACTGGCATTGCAAGAGAAGAATTATGGGTGGGCGGTCAGTAAAAGGGAAGTATAAAAATGTTGGTTTAAGTCTGATTCGGGGGCCACTGGTTTATAGCTGTTCTGTTTGAATCTGCTATTGTCAGTTGGTCCTCACTGCAATGGGTTATTGATGTAAGTTGTGAAAGCTACGTTATTATGTTATGTTCCAAATTATTAACAAATTAAACCTCTGAATCCTAAAGGAAGAAGTATTGTCCTTGCGTTGCTGTCTCTTGTCATTTTTCCATGACAGTATTAATTAACTAAATGCATCTTTAGGTGAATTGTGAAATGTGATCAGAATAATAGAATAACTGAGTTGGAAGGGACCTTGGAGGTCTTCTAGTCCAACCCCCTGCTCAGGCAGGATACCATTTCAGACAAATGGCCATCCACTCTCTTCTGAATGTTCCACAACCTTTTTTTTCTGAGCCGCGGTGGGCCTCCTGGATGAATCTAGGGGGAGCCCACAGTCTCCCCCCAAAGTTTCCCCATATCAAATACAGGTAGTCCTCAACTTACGACCTCAATTCAGCCCAATTTTTTTCTTTCTTAAGCGAAATGTTTGTTAAGTGAGTT